CCACATCTGCACTACTCATGTCAAAAGGAAAAAAATCTTGAATTATTCGCACACTCTAGACTTCCAAACACACTGCCTTACACTCTCCCTCACTCCGTACTTTATACCCATCTCCAACTCTCACCCCAAACGCCTATGTTCGCTCTACAGCAATACCCAACTTCTCTACAATCTCTCTGTTAATGAAATTGTGGGAAGCCCCACTGTCAATCAAGATAATAACCTCTTGACCCATAATACTTCCCTTCAACTTCATCGTTTTTGGGCCATTGATTCCCATAACCGAGCTAAGGGAAAGTTCAACATTACCTTGGCTTTGTTCTTTCGTCGCTCTTTAACTGATTTCCACGTCACCTGGATCCAAATCTTCTTCTTCTTCATTAACTAGGATTACTTGAAACTGCTTCTCACCACACTTATGGCCAAAGAAATACTTCCCATCACACTTGAAGCATAACCCTTTTTCTCTTTTTCGTTGTATTTCGACCTCTGTCATTTTTCGAAAAGGATATTCGCGTCGCGGTGGGTGAGTTCTATCGAAGGATCTGAAGGTTGTAGATGTGTAATCACAAGGAGAGGAATTCACCGATGAACCCACGGCAGCACCCTCTGCGTTTCGTCGCCCCGAATGTGAGAATGAGTTTGAGAAGGAATTTGATTTTAGGGATTCAGTCGAAATTGGGGCTTTTAGTGAATCTCCGGGTCGGGTTGATATTGGGTTAAAGCTCTTGGGTCCAAAATTGCTTGACCCGACATTTAATCCAGGCCATTCACCTATTGGTTTTTGCTGGACCAGCCTTAATCTCCTCTAAGGCCCAATTACGTTCCTCTACTCTGTGGGCTCTCTCTATTGTTTGGAGAAGAGAAGTGGGCTGGATCAACCTCAATTCAGCCCGAATTTCTGCCTTCAGACCATTAAAAAACGCAGCGTTTAGGATCTCTTCTTTCTCTTTCACCAGCAAAGCAGCTACAGCTTTGAATCTTCGTCTGTAATCCGCAACTGTACTATTTTGTTTCATGGCCATGAGAGTTTCATAAGGGTTACTCTCTTGAGATCCGCTAAATCTCTGAATTAGAGCAAGTTTGAACGATGGCCACGACGTTACCGGGGCCCTGACTTCCATCCATTGATACCAGTTAATGGCTTCCCCTTCCATACACACTGCCGCAACTGTTAGCTTACCTTCATCAGGAATTTCATTCAGAGTGAAATACCTTTCAATTTTAAAGATCCACCCGTAAGGATCCTCACCCACGAAAATGGGTAATTCCAGTTTCCTTCCTCCCAAGTCACTCTGACTTTGTCCCAAACTCCTTGATCCACTTGCTCTGTTTTGATTTTCCCCCTCCTGATTTCTCAAGTTTCTGGATGAATTCTATTCCCCACGTCCAGCTTCTTCTTCATCCTTTCTCCTAATCCAACTCTATATCTCTACCATGCATTCGCGAACAGTCCCCATATCCACACCTAATTTCGTCACCTCCCGTTCCACATTATCAAGTCTAGATTCCATTCTCGTTGCTATCATAACCCACACACCTGCTTTGATACCAATTTGTTGCAAACCTACCCAGATTTCTTACTCAATCACACACACAAACACTAACACTAGATGTATTCCACAGTTCAATATAATCACCCAGTAACATTCAGAATCACAGAGTATGTATTGTATTGAGAAGTTCAGAATTACACTCAACTATGGACTATATCTCAACCTCAGATCTACAAGAATTCAAATAACAAAACAATGGAAACAATGGAAACTGATATGCTGGACTTCGAGGGCCAATTACCTCCCCTTTTACTAACTTCTTTCTCGATTCCCTTTTTCATCCTCTGCTGCTCCTTTTATTCATTTCTTCCCTTAACAGAATTTAACCTCCACCACTTATCTTTTGACACCTATCCACTCTACCTTTTTCTTCACTTCACACTCTTCACACTTTAGTTGCTTCCTTTATCGCGGTTGATCCCCTGGTGCTTCTTCCCACGCTTCCTGTTATACACCAGCACTTCGCGTGTTGTATCAACTTTCTATGAAATTCTATTTATGTCCTTTAATCAATTACTAAATACTCTTATTTTTATTATCTTCTTCACATTATTTTGCTTCCTTTCACTTCCCACTTTTTCAACTAATTAGGAGTGAAAAGACTATTTTACCCCTAATGAAGTTTTAAGGAATTTTCTTCACATTTGTCTAAGATAACTTCAAAGAAATCCAACTAAGGGATTAGGGCATAAGTAAAATTACGTACCTTGATGTGGGTGGTACATGCTACATTTTGATTTTTTTTGTTTTGTATTTTCTATTCAGGTCTTCTAGTGGACTGTGATGAACTCTTTTTTGGTTTGAAATTTCAAATTGATGCCATTGCAAAAATCAAGTCAAATAGCCACCTATCAAACTCTAGTATTATATTTTGGAAGTACCACTACCACAAGCTAATGCACCCATGCAAGTAATAATCTGACTACCCTCGTGCTGTTTCTGTTTTCGGTCAAACCGGTTTTGGCACTAGTGCTGTATACTATCCGAGCCGAGCCGAACACTACGGTGTTCGAAGCTTGGCTTGTGAAAATTTAACAAGCTCGAGCTCGAGCTTGGGTTCGACGAGCTTTGAAAACCAGGCTTGAAGCTTGAGTTCGTTAAATATTTTGAGCTCGAATTCAGCTCGCGAACCGCTCGTTTATGAGTCCTCAATCCAAAGCAATCCACCAATAATCCTTCAAAATAGCCCCAATCCAAAGCTAACCCACTAATCATCACCAACCATCAACAGATCCAAAGCCAAATGCCACAAATATATGACTCAAAATTCCATCGACTATGAGAGATAGAAGAAAAAAGAAGATGAGAGAAAAGAAAAGCAAAGAGGGAGAAGGAAAGAGATGGAAGAGCAAAGGAGAAGTAAGAAGAAAGGTGAAGAAGAAGGAAAAATGAGGAGAAGAAAGACGAAGGAGAAAAAAGATGAAGAAAAGGGAAGGAGAAAGTGTTGGTGCTGGAGAAAGAAGATAGGGTTTAGGAAGTGGGATGATTTATATTGGATAGAGTAAATTACATATAACCCCCTGATACTTAAAAAATAGCACTTATACCCTTTCGAGCCATTCACGAGCCTATCAAACCGAGTAGTGAGTGGTTCGACTCAAGCTCGACTCGACAAAAGTCGAGCTGAACCTGGCTCGCTTACAGCCCTAGGTTTTGCATGTAGTTGCTTTCTGGAGTGTAACGCCCCACTTGAGGTACGTTGTTATTGTTTCCTCTTTCACCCTTAATCGAGTTGGTTTTTGTTATCGTTTGATTTAGTGTTGTGTTGAATGTTTGCCCTGAAATTGGTTGAAAATAGAAGAAGTTTAGTATTTCAGTCTTCGCCGGGGCGAAGAAGAATCTTCGCCGCGGCGAAGAGGTGTTGAAGCCACGGGGAAGCTGCTGGACAGTTTCGCCGCAGCGACAGAAGTTTCTTCGCCGCGGCGACAGGCCGTTTAAAATTTTTGTTTGTTGAATTTTAAATATTTTCTCCCTAACAATTTGACCTTTAACCCCTAATTAGCAGGAAAAGTGGGGGTTAATTGTAAGGAATTTTCATGGAGAATATGTTGATTTAGGGGTGAGTTTGTAATGAATCAAAGGATATGATGGAATTCCCAAAGAAGAATAAGGCAAAATGGGAATGAGTGTGTTTAATTTCATTAAAAGGAATTAGAATCAAGAAACCCCTCATTTTTCTCTTCTCAAACGCAACTTCCCTCCTTACTCCTCTCAACTTCTCTCTTCTTTTGATCAAGGTTTTCCAAGGGGTTTTGAAGTGATTTGGGGTGGAAAATAACCTAAGGCTTCCTAAGGTAAGGATTTCTCCTTAAGTTGTGTTGATGTGAGTTTTAGTTCTTTGGTATTTGAGGTTTCATTCTTTTGGTATTATGAGGAAAGTCAAGCTAAACAAGTGAAAGGAAAAGTTGTGAAGTCTCTCCATAACAGGGTATAAAACCCACCCAAGTTGAGATTTATGAAATTTCTTGATTAGGGTTTTGATAGACTTGATGTATGTATGTGATGTCATGTAATATGCATGTATGAAGGATGAATAAGATTTCTATGCCTTGTGAGCAGGGCCGGCTTAAGGGTAGGCAGGTGAGGCACCTGCCTAGGCCCCAAAAAAATGGGGGCCCAAATTTTTAAATTTTTTTTTTTTTTTTTTTGAATATCTTACAAAAATGAAAATGGCTTATATTTTCTTATCTAAGCCAAGGGGCCCCAAAAAAAAAACTAAAAAAGCCCAAATTTATCATAAACTTTTTACATATATCTCCACCCAAAGTTTAACAAAATAGCAAGTTTATACCTCTAGTTTTATAATTCTAGTTTATACCCTTAAATTAACACATTGAATCTCTTTAACAATGGAGATTAAAATAGTCATTTACATATCTCAAATTACTCACCCTAATTTAATCCCAAAATTTGACATTCACATAAATCATCTCCAACCCTCTTCTGCAACTAGTGGTTGCAGTTGATTTCGGTCAATTTTGGTTTCGGTTGATTTTCTTACCAAAATCGACCGAAATCATCATTTTATCATTTCCCAACCTTGATAGCCCTCGATTTGACTAATTTTTGATGAATCTCGCAACCCAACTCCACCTCACGACAGCCATTTCCAGCCTTTTTGGCATGTACCTAGCATTGTTGGCCTTCTCCAACACCACCATCTTCCTCCCCTCAGCCCTCTCACCAAAACCCCTATCATACCTTATCCGTTTACTCTGCCAATCGCTGGCCATTAATACCTTTTGGGCTATGACTTCTCAAGTCTTTTCTTATCAATCTTGGCATTAGAAATTACCCATCACTTCTCCAACATCTACTCTCCAAAACCCCCCCACCAACCTAACCTTGTTAGCCTGTCGATTGTTGTCCACCTCTCCTAGTGATTTTTCATCTCAAAAGGAAAAATAATAATAATAATAATAATATTAATATATGCTTATATTATTAGAGGACCCCAAAATAACTCATGTCTAGGGTCATAAATGTTCTAGAGACGGCCCTGGGTCTTGGTTCTAAGTCCTTGACAAAGAGTTTATTCGGGGTTGGTTTAACATCATTATGATAAATTGTAAGATCGGGTCTAGGTTCGAAATCCTTTAAAAGAGATTTCTTTTCAGTAGGTTTGATATCATTGTGGTAAATGCTGATATCGGGTCTCGACTCGAAATCTTTTAAGAAGGATTTGTCTTGGGTTGGCTTGATATCATTGTGGTAAATTGTGAGATCAGGTCTAGGCTCAAAATCCTTGAGAAAGGATTTGTCTTCGGTTGGTTTGAGATCGTTATCGTAAATGGAGATATCAGGCCTAGGCTCAAAATCCTTAACGAAGGATTTCTCTTGTGTTGGGTTAAAATCATTACTGTAAATGGAGATATCCGGCCTAGGCTCAAAATCCTTAACAAAGGATTTCTCTTGTGCAGGTTTAAGATCGTTAATATAAATGGAGATATCAGGCCTCGACTCAAAATCCTTCACAAAAGATTTCTTTTCTGTTGGATTGACGTCATTACCATAGATGGAGATATCAGGTCTCGGTTCAAAGTCTTTAACAAAAGACTTCTCTTCTTCATGACAATCAGCTTTCTCATTAGAGAGGGACCTGGTAGGATCAGCACGACCAAGGCTAATTCGGATTGATTCTTCTATCGACTGATCTTTTACGGCATCTCTCCAGTATTCTCCCATGTCTTTCCTTCCATCTATAGTGTTAGCCAACTGCACAAAATAAACACAAAATTTAGACCTGGCAAATCATTGAAACTTGATAAAAGAAAGATCAATAATCGAGAATAACAAAATGTTTTACTTGAACTTTAAAGTTTCAAACAGAATTGCATTACCAAGAGAAGTAAGGAGAGTGTAGAGAAAGAAAGAAATAAAGCTTTCATCTCTGCTGTGAGAAAAGATAGTTCAACTGTTATGATTTGCTTGGAAGCCTTATACATATCTCCCTATATATAGGGGAAAAAATGGGAAGAATTTCAAATTCCATACCTTCATGTAGGCCATGATCAAGATTTGTAAAATTAAGCCAAAAATTTGACCATGATTCCAGTACCATGCATTGTAAGAAGATTATTGGTTGAGTTGTTTGCTGATGAGTTTTATACAACTTGCCATTTCTGAACCTTTAATAATTTATTCAGGGTTGGTGGATGCATATGAAACTCGAGGTGCCACTTAAATATCTTTTATTCAAGATTTTGTTAGAAAAGGTTAAGGTTCGTTAGTGATGGTGAAAGCAGAATTAAACTCTACTTTTTAATCAATCAAACAGTTTTCCAATCATCTATCTCCGTTTTCTTCCTAATTCCTCTCTGTCATCTATTTCATATTGCCCAATTCACCGTTTTCCATCTAAGTCACCGTTGTCTGACAATTCTCCGTCATCAGTCAATTTTCGCAGCCTTATGTTGGAATTGATTAAGTGTTGTGAGTATTGAGTTTAGTTTCATGAACTATCTCTAGGTGGTGGAGTAGTTTCATAAGGATTCTTGGGAGTATGAATCCCTCCTAGATGCTAACAGTTGATAGTTTTAAGATCCTAAAAAATTAGTTGAGATACACGTAAACTAGTTCGAACACCTCCGGTCAAAATAAAAACAAAGGGTTTAGTTTCATGCGTTTAAAAATCCTAATATAGATCTAGCCATAAAACAAATGGTTGAAGAAACTAACAAATAGACAGCAACCGGAAAACTTTGATAGAGAATGGTAAACTGGCCTGGTCGGAAATTTGTGACAAGAACGATAAACTGACATGAAACGACAGATTGAGAAAAGAGAATGGTAAACTAGCCTATCTAGTGATAATTTATTTTGTTCAATAATAGAAGAGATAAACATTTTTGTTAATAATAAACGAGATACATGATTTGTAAGACATTGGATCAAAACAGCTTTAATGGTTGAAATTCAATACAACTTGCATAATTAACGAATTTCAGGAATATCATATTTGGATAAAAAACACTTTTAATGTTTGAAATTTAATAAAACGTGCGTTCGAGTTTGCATTCAGTGAATAAAAGAAAATTATAGACAGTCTACCTGAAGATCGAATTTGCATAGAAGGTCTTACCTTTAATAGTTAATGGATTCAAATTGGACCAGTATAACTCATGCATAAAGCATAATACATCTGTAGTTTTAATGGAGGATCTCTTCATTATTGAAAATTACACTACTGTGAGTGGCAGACATCCATGCATGCTAAAGATGATCGTAAAGAACACCTAACAACTACCACTCTCCAATACAATATATAAATTAAAAGATTTCGTCGAAAGATTTTTGGCCAAAAGACGTTGCCAGCGATATTAATTATGTTGCCTTGTCTTTACATTAATTATTGTCCATCTTCCTTTTTATTCCTAGATAAACTCCAAGACACTAACAAAAGGATGGCAGATCTTTTGCTTTTGCTCAAAATTAATTTTTTAAGATGTGTTGTAAATGGAATGCTCTTTCATGATTCAGCTCAAGAAATTAAAAAGAACAACTTAGACAAATTAGTTGCCACAAATGACTGAAAGATACTAATTAAAGGAGAGTCCAGAAATCGATAGCAGAGAGAGCTTTCATGCAGATTCAAGTGCACTAAAGAGTCCTACATATCCACCTCTGTTTTGCGAGGAAGCAATCTACCTCTTACTCTACATTAATTTTATTGATGTGTATTCTACCTTATAATAATTATATGCTATGTCCTTTAGAATGAAGGGCACCTATGTTATATGCCATTGTATTGAAAGCATGTGCATACAAATTAACTTGATAAGAACTATCATATAAAATGAGGATCCCAGGGATATGTGTATGCTTGTGCAATTAAAATGGCTTTTGAATGGAAGCAAATTAAGCCTTTTATATTTCAATCATACCTCCTTACAGAAATCATGTTCAAGCTCATACTGTAAGATCGAGCCACACAATTCTGACATTGCTGAAACAAACTGAACCCCCCGTGACTTGATTAAAAAAAAAAACAAAAAACAAAAAACAAAACATCAATCATCCAGTGTATATATATAAACATCACTTGTAATCCGATTTGGTTAATAAAAAACAATCATTTTCTCTCTATATTTGTGGAATGGGAACACTTTTTAGTAATCGATGAAGAAAAGACAAGCAAGAAAAAAAAAAAAATTAATTTTAGGCAAATTTTTATTTTACGAATTTGTAATTGAGAATATTTGTTTTCCTTTACTTTGAGTTGTATTAGAAAAGAAGAATTGATTTAAGATTGTATTTAGAGTTATTAGAAAAGTCCTATTAGGATTTGAAATATGAATCCTAGTATAAGAAGAATGTCCTATTTTATTTATATATAGAGGGGTTGGAATTAATTCAAGGTTATGAAAGAGGGAATAAGAAAAAAAAAAGAATGTAGGATACAAGGGGTTTTGATGTAGAGTATCATGGGTATCGAGAAAATACCACAGGGTATTAAACATCATAGGAATAAGATGTCCGCCTATATAAAGGTACTAGGTTGACGGTGTGATGAACAGTTGTATCGTACTCATAGAATTATAGTGAATTTCTTTCATCTGTAAATGTAAACAAGTTATATCGAACTATATAAAATATCGTGTGTCTTTGTGTGTTGTTATTGATGTTCTTTATTTATGTTTTTACTCCTCCCATTTTTAACAATATTTCCAGAATTTCGCATTTCGTTTTCATTGCAACGAGGCCAGGTTCCGATGTGTGTCACTTCTTCCCAACAGATAATCTAGTTTTTGTTCCAAAATCTATGTACTAGAGAAGTAATTGTTATGTGATTATTGAAGTCTTAACGTTGCTGTTCCTGTGTGCTGGCTTTGGAGCTAATAAATGTTATTCGCCCAAGTTCGGAAATAAATGGTTTATTTTCCTTTTCTTTTTTAAAATATTGATCCTGATAAACTTTAAATTTCTTACCCACAGCATGATACATACAGCACATTAAGGTGAGGCACACACTTCTTACATAGCTTGCACATTGAGTCCCCCATGACATAATCGAACAGACACATTAATTACACAAATGTTTATTGGATAAGAGAGAACCAAACTGAGTCTTCTATAATACAACAGTAAACTAAATAATAAAGGGCTCTCTATCTTGCAGGAGTTTCATTGCTGATGATCAACCCCGGGACATCAAGTTTGTGTCTCGGAGTCCTTAACAAAGGGTTTCTCTTTAGTATTTTTAGTAGTGGGCTTCAGTTCGGAATCCTTAACAAAGGAATTGTCATTGGTGGATTTAGAATAGGCAGCATAAGCAGGGTAAAATACGGGACTAGCCACAAAGTTCTTAGCAAAAGATTTCTTATCTACAGCTGGTTTAGCATACACAGGGTAAAATATTGGACTAGCCTCAAAGTTCTTAGCAAAAGATTTCTTATCTGCAGCTGGTTTAGCATACACAGGGTAAAATATTGGACTAGCCTCAAAGTTCTTAGCAAAAGATTTCTTATCTGCAGCTGCTTTAGCATACGCAGGGTAAAATATGGGATTGGGCTTGAAGTTCTTAACAAAGGATTCTTTATCAGTTGGTTTGGCATTAGAATAGGCAGGGTAGAATATGGGATTAGCCTTAAAGTTTTTAACAAAGGATTTCTGATCATCTGTTGACTCAGGCTGGTGGTTTAAATCCTTAACCAAAGGCTTCCCTTCTTCCTGACCCACTATATTAGCCTTCTGATTAGAGGCTGCAGACATTGCAGAATGCACATGAACAAGGTTTTGGATTGATTGTGGCATGGGTTTATCTTTCATGACATCTTTCCAATACTCCCCCAGGTCTTTCCTTGCCTCTGCAGAGCTAGCAAACTGCACAAGAAGGGAAAAAAAATTAATCTTAAGATTAGAAAGAAATCAATATACTAATCGTCACATATATATTTATTTCTAACTCTTTGAATTTCTAGATACTGTATAAACTTTGAACTCAGTCCCCATTATTAACTTTTTCATTTTCAGTCCAGTTCAAGAAAACGTACCAAGAGAAATGAGAGTGTAAAGAGAGTGAAGAAAGTTTTCATGTTTTTTTTTTAAATTCAAATGATACCAAGAGTCCAAGATATCACCTCTAAGTTTTGCATTGAAGGCCAAATTCTTCTTACTATATATAGATAAAAATACAAGAGGATCGATTCAACATTTCAACCTCGTGGTGTGTACTGAAGTCTTTTTAAATTTTTTTTTTTTTTTTTTTTTTTGGGTAAGGGGTGGAAGCTGTCAAGACATTATAATTATAAAACCAGGCTCATTATTTTTTGGTGATCATAGTGTCAGGCTAGTCTACATGCTCTCAACTAATCTCCAGGTCTGAAGTTATAAGTAGGTAAACCCTCTAGTGGTCACTTCTATTAACAACTAAGAGAAATCAAACTAAAATCTCTTGAATAATACATTTAAGAGTCTCTATCGTATGTACCACCCGACTATCTAGGGGTAGTTAACCGGGGGCTATATTCTTATTACAATTATATTATACAAGAATTTCAAAAAGAACATAGAATATTGGTGATGAAAGCGGTCGGTTCTTATGTATCATATATAATGTCTTGTTCTATATGAAGGATTCCTCTGGTAATATTAATTTCACTATATATACTAGATGTCTTCTTAAACTTATTTTTCTCTTTGTTTTTTTGTATTTTTGAGTTGTTTTACGAGATTGACATCACACCAAATTCAAAATCAAACACTTAATCTTTTGCTTTGAACTATGGAATATTTCTCTCAATTAAGTTTTCACTCATAAAAAACACTTAACCACTCAACCACTCAGAGGTTGGTTACGGTACTCAAATTTCAAACGCTAGTTAGTGATCACCATTCCAAGGTTTACAAATGGAAACAATTTAAAACTAATTATCTCATTAATTAAGTACATTGATTTTGTTAATTATATATTTATCAAAGAAATATGTCATGATCTCTTACTGATATCTCTTTCATATATAGGCAGATTTGCTAATTTTGAATCTACAAATGTTACTTACTGCTATTATCCTATAAATTATAGGTTTCTGAAGATAAAGAATTTGTGAAAATAGATTGAAAGGGATGTGGTAGCTACGAGGTAGTAATCAAGGAGATAGGTAATATACATCATCTTTTATGATTGTTTTTGTGTAGAGCTAGATGTAGAGCATATAATTAAATTTACTTTCTTCTACTAAGTAATATGTACAATATGCATTATACTTTTGTTCTTATTTACTGTAAGATATATTCTTTCTGTTTTTCAAATGTTATTAAAATGTTGACAGTTTGACAGCAAGCTAATCAAGTTATCCATGGAGAATCAAGAAATAAACTAACATCAAGTTGCATGTTAATGTATTGCTTTATTTTATATAATTGTTTCAGTTTATTCGTTCTGCTCTGCTAGATCCGAATGGAAGCTAACAAAAACATTTATGAAAACTATTCTCAAGTTGCTCTAAACCATCTTGATTTTTCAGGACTTAATTCATGTTTGGCGTTGCTTGGGTTGGTTGTGAGCTTCTTCGACAGGTTGGGAAGATTTTAATTTCGTGCTTGTTGGATGTTAATTTCAAAAATACTCTTCGTCACCTCATGATCATCAGCTATATATTCAATCATAAGTAGTTTCTGATAATCAGTACTCGAATTTCAAAGGCTAGCTCGTGAAATTGAGTAATTTCTTGAGTTAATAATGATCATCAGTTAACCCTAAGGGGTTGGCCTGACGGTAAAAAATGTTTACTCTTTTTATTGATTTTTTGGGTTCGAACTACCTTGGGGCCACCTATCTATGGCTTACCTTAGAACATTGGGCTTGTAGCATGTGTAATAGACTCTGAGGATTAGTTGAGGTGCGCAGAAACTGACCCAAACATCCCGGTCATTAAAAAAAAAAAAAATTGATCACCATTCAAAGGTTTATAAATGGAAACAAATTAAAATTATATATATATTTATCAAAGAAACTCTCCTACTCTCTTATTGGTCTCTTTCACATATAAAAGATTAGCACTAATTTTGCATTACAGTGTTACTTAATTACTGCAATTATCCTCTAAATAGTAAGTTAGAAGATAAAAGAATTTGTGAAAAAGATTGAAAGGGATGTGGTAGCTACGACGTAGTAATCAATGCATGAGATAGATTCTTTCTTTTTTTTTTGTATTGTTATAAGAATGTTGACACAATGGCAGCAAGCTAATCCAGTTTATCCATGGAGAATCTCAAAAAATTAACTAACATCAAGTTGTTTGTTATATTGCTTTATTTATTTATTTATTTATTTTTTCAGGTTTTTTCCCTTCTGTTTTACTAGATCCAATGGGGACTACTTATATTAATATTTATGAAAAATATTCTCAAGTTGCTCTAAACCATTTTGATTTTTCAAGAATTCATGCAATGTTTGACGATGGTTGGTTGTGAGATTCAACAGTTTGTGCTTGTATGGCTTAAGCCATTGATCAACAATAGGTTTATTAGAAGTTGGGAAGATTTCAAAGAGATAGCTTTCATGTATATATGTCAAGGAATGTGGATAATGTTTTATTTGTTGTATTAACCAATGCTCCAAATTAGACAATAAATTCTAAGGCATAGAGATGAAATTAAAAAGGGTATCATCACAAAAAATATCTAATCACTTTGTAAGGGAGCTAGGGTTTACGCAAGCTTGAACCCAAAAACAAACAAATTAAAAGATTAGACAACTAATAGGATGAAGTTATATGCACCTAATAATTTACTTTACATATATATTCATATTCTAAGCACACTCTTAATCAATGTTGTAAAACCTAGACCGGGCCTTGACCTAGTCAAGGGGCCAGTTCCCGGGTTGGTTGGTCCAACTGGTTGGATCGGTCGAACCGGTGACGTTAGCATGACATATTGTTATTTGGATTTAGATTTTGAATTTATTTTATTTATCATTTCATCTTTAGATTTGGATTTTCGGTTTATTTTGTTTATGTTATATTGTTATTTGGATTTTGGAATTGGATGGAATTATTTTGGAAATTTATTAGAATTTAAAATTTTAATTATGACATGTTGATGTCATCGGTCTGGTTCTCTAACCAGGTAGGTAAACTGGCGATTCAACACTATTCCGTTGGTTCAACTCTAGATCAATCTAGTCCAGTTGCTATAACCAAGTTTAGAATGTACCCGGATCAGAAAAGGGTCTAGTTCCTAGTCGAACCAGTGGTCCGGTCCAAGTTTTAAAACAATGCTCTTAATCAACAACAAATTTTAAACCTTAACTATTGTCTATGCTACAAACTTTCATGGTTTTAAAAATATCATATGCGGCTATCAAACGGGCATTAGATTAATTCATAATTGACAGAACCATTGATTGGAAATTAATTAACTATTGAGTAAGAGTAGCGGCAGGTTATAAATCATGTTCAGGTAGCAGAAATCATGTCATTCTGAGAGATTTTTCCCTGTCTTGTTAATGGTCATGCAGATTTAGTTTGTGAAATTTTGCTTCAATTTTTCATGGTTTTACACCGTCTCTGGAATATCTCTGCTATTATTATCTGAGTCCCCCTTTCTGAAAGATGAGATATAAAACTGAAACAAGGCCTTATATAATGATGGTCTCAGGGTTGGCTTCCTTGAACTTCCTCCAACTGCTATTCCTCCTTGTGGTAATTAATCTTCAAACTCTGGTTGGTTCACCCTGTAATTTAGATGAAGGTTTTGATATGCTCATTTGAAGTTTAAGCTACTGAATTCTTGAATATCTAACAGGGCGCTTATGGAAGTGGTGTCAATGCCAGGGAGATGACTGAACTAGCAGCTCATTCAGCATCCCACAAGGATCAAATGAACCACTCTTTGAAGATCTTCTTCACCATGAATGAATTGAAGGCAGGGAAATTTTTTCCCACCTCTCTTCCTATGAACGATCCTTCAACTTCTCCTCCTTTGTTGCCCAGAGAAGAAGCTGATTTAATCCCATTTTCATCCCAAGAACTTCCTCAAATTCTTGACTACTTCTCCTTCTCACATGACTCAACCCAAGCCAAGGCCATTGAAGATGCAGTTAAAAGGTGTGAAACCAATCCCATCAAAGGAGAAACCAAATTTTGTGCTACATCTTTACAATCCATGTTTGATTTTGTCCGCAGTATCTTCGGGTTGGAGATGGATTTTCAAGTTTTAAGCACAACCCACCTCACAAAATCAATTGCCACTTACCAAAATTATACTATCCTAAAAGTGCCTAAAGAGATATATTCTCCTAAGATGGTAGCTTGCCATACTGTGCCTTATCCTTATGCAATTTTCTACTGCCATAGCCAAGAGACTGAGACCAAGATTTTCAGTGTTCCCCTAGGAGCTGAAGATGGAGATAGAGTGGAAGCTGTTGCAGCTTGCCACATGGATACTTCTCACTGGAGTCCTGATCATATTTCATTTCGTATGCTTGGAATCAAACCAGGAAGTTCCCATGTGTGCCATTTATTTGCAACAGATAATTTAGTATTCGTTCCAAAATCTACCCACTAGACCAGGATTATTCAATTACTCTTTATGTTGCTGATCCTGGGGTGCTTGGTTTGCTGGTAATTAATTAATGTTACTTGATGTTCTGAAAGTTGTTCAATATGTTGTGTATCATGTAGTGTGCGATGGGAGGAAATAATATTGTGAATGGAACCTTCCATTAATCTTAATTCCAAAAGCAAATGCTTATTCATCTATCTTTCACATTCTGTGAATAGTCGAGACATTGAGGAATATCTAGAAAGGCATTTAGGAAATTGGTCTGATTCACTCTCTATTTATTCCGTTTGAAGAAAAGAAGGATCCCAAAAAATCGATCTTTCTTTTAGTACGAGACATCATTCTACAATAACAATGCTAGTACTTTTTTAAAACTATGGTTTCATAAATTCTACCGACAGGGGCTCAAATTCACAAAAAGAACCAATATTCACCAGTTACTATATATTTAGGTTCAAAATTAGATTTGCTTTGGCCCCCAATTTCCCAGTTTCTAAATGTCCGTTCAAAGCTGTTGAACTCTTATAATTTTAGGCCAAAACAGTTTCCCACAACGATCATGGCGCAATGTTTTCAGTAACAGAGTTGTTCTGCTTCTCAGTGAAAACATTGCTGCATATTGATTTCTAGTTTTGTTAGCTTACACTATACTAATTGTACCATGAACAGACCACAAGAAAATCTGAAAAAATAATATAAAGATCAAATGAAAGCTTCCAACAGCATAAACATAAAACAATACTTTACAGTTTACACCCATATTAATACAATGAACAGACTACTTGATAAATTGTACAAGATGAGTTCTACGGTTCATCCGTTGCTCCTTGCTGCTTTCCAGACCCAGCCCAGCTGCTTTTGCTTGTTTAACAAGGATTTGGGTTTTCTGATCTCTTCTTGCTTCTCTCTTGGGCTCAGAATGGCTGTGAACTATTAATTGCTTTCGGCTCCTTTCTTGCACAATTGAGGCCACTTATTAATTAAAAAAAGGGTAAACCACTTTTTTCCCACCCAAATAATGGTTTAATGGCACTTTTTTATCCATAGATTTTTAAAATAATATTTTATTATCCAAATTTATATTACGTTTCCGATTTTGGCATCAATGCAATCCCACACTACCACTATTCTCTTCTCCGATCATCACTCACAAAAACCCCTCAAACTCTATTCTTGTCGACCCTACAAATCACCGATAATTGAGTGATTAGGGTTTGTGAAATCGCCCCTTTCAAGTCAAACTTTGATCAATCTCAACCACCAAAACCCAACCTTTCACTACCAAAAGACTTATGGGTCTCCCCTCTTCAAAAGCCCCAACAGTCTGAAGCAAGTTTGCTCTCTGTTCATCGTCGAAATACAAATTTAAGTAGTAAAGTGATATTTTAAAAGTCCGTAGGTGGAATATGTCATTAAGCCATTTTTAGGTGGGAAAAAGTTGTTTGCTCATTAAAAAAAATAATAATAAATGAAGCTCTAGGCCTCTAGCAACACCAACAAATTAATTAGTACCACTGAGTTCTATTATGGATAGAGAGACACATCTAACTAACGTACAACTCATACTAAACTAAAATTTTAATTAAAAAAATTCAGAGGTAAATGCCATTGACTTATGCTTGAGAAATTAAAAGCTTTGTTCAAATTATAGAAGATTGATATTGATGATAAGGAGTACTTATCAGCTGACGCCATTACCAAACTCTGCATCAAAATACAAGAGGAAAAAAAAAAAAAAAAAAAAAAGTTAGCTGGAAAGTTGACTATGAGTAGGAGAAGATGCCAGAAGAAAGAAAGAAATAATCCAATTGAACCTAGAGGGCCAAGCTGCTCAGCTACCACTAGTGAGTAATGCATGCACTACCCAGAAACTTCAATAATGCGAAGATTAAAATACTTCTATCGCAATATCTCCATGAAGAAAAAGCAAGCTCATTAGTCAAACTCAGAGCTTGAGAAGACTTTAATGAATTTGCTATTTAAATTTTATAGATGGGTCTACTGTCGAAGACAAATAGACATGCATGATTTCCCTGTTGAATATTGAATGAAATTGAGAGTAATACGAAAACAAAGTAAACAGAAAACACGCAAATACAAACAGTAAAAAGAAAGAAGAAAATGTGTGATTTATCCTGGTCACCAATTAATAAACTATATCTAGTCGAGTCAATATTATTTCAATGCTGTCTCACTTCTCTCGTTTATAATAAAATAATTTGTCATGTGATTGCTATCATGCATTACAAGAGAAAAGCGTGTTTATATATTAAATTTAAAAGACTAAACCTAATATTACAAGGATTCTTACTCCTAAACCCAACCCCAATAAGGAATTAATAACTTACAGAAATCATTCAGCGGTTATACATGAAAAAAGCCCAAAATCACCTACGGACTCAGGGGCATTGCCCCTGCGACCCCCATCCGCTCACCAGTGACCCTTGAATGCGTTTGCGTGGCCCATTATTATTGAAGTGGTCGACAATTCTAGCAATTATCAGCTGACTTATAAAGTAAACACCAGCAAAAATTGAAATCATCAGTGGAGTTGCTGAGAGTCAAAATCATGAAGGGGCCAAATAATTTCCAGGACTGGATTAGAATATGGAGGGGAGGGCCACAACAGACAACTTTTGGCTCTATTTGCAGAAGTCAACTTGAAACGAGCATCGTTCTAGGTGTACTTGTCAAAAGAAATGTTATCTTTTGCTCATTTCACCCCCACTAATTGGAATCATTTTACAGTTGAGGGGCAATGAATTTTTTTATTAATATCAGTTTTCAGAGGGATCAGAAAAGCACTGTGAGGGTTAACTAATAGATCGAATATTAAATTGATAAAGTGACAGGGATTTCCATTGATTAACAATGGAATAAGTATTAGCGGGTAGGTTATAAGTTGACTAGCAGAAACAATTTCATTGTCTTGAGAAAGACTAGTCCCTGCTTGTTAATAGTTATGCAGATCAGTTTATGCTTGTGAAAGTTAGCTTTTGATCTCTGTTCGCTCTTTCTCAAAGCATAAATATAAAACCGAAACAGAAAAGACTTTTAATAACAGAATGAAGATGGGCTTATGTTCGGCTTCTTGGAAAGTCCTACTTCTACTCCTTGTGGTAATCTTCTTTAAACTTTAATTGGCTCAGTTATGATCTTAATGACCAATTTTAAACCTGCTGAATTGGTTAATTGTTTTACAGTGCGTTTGCAGAAGTGGTGCCAGGAAAATGAAAGAAGAATCCTGGAAAGAGTTAGGTGATAATCATCAACAGAACAGAAAGGTGCCTGATGAATCAGATTATCCAGTGGTTGATCATCACAAGATTCATCCAAAGGAAGCCATTGATCCATCATCCCACACGGATCACATAGACCCTTCAGTGAGACTGTTCTTCAAGATGAATGATCTAAAACTAGCAAATATCATTCCCACCTATCTTCCCGAGACAGATCCTTCAAATTCTCCTCACTTGTTCTCCAGAGAAGAAGCTGATACAATTCCATTTTCATTGAAAGATCTCCCTTATCTTCTTGACTCGTTCTCTTACACACATGATTCACCCCAAGCCAAGGCCATGGAAGATGCACTTAGAATGTGTGAAACTAATGATCACTTGAATGAAGAGCTCAAATTTTGTGCAACCTCTTTAGAATCCATGCTTGATTTTGCACGCAGTGTCTTCGGTTTGAAGACAGATTTTGAAGTTTTAAGCACTACCCACCTCATAAAATCAGCTGCCACTTTCCAAAATTATACTATCCTGGAAGAGCCTAAAGAGATATTGTTATGCAAACAACTTATAAAGCAAACTAAACCAAACAAGAAATCAAGAAGAAAACAACAATCAACAACACAGAAACTTTTACCGTGGTTCACTTGCCCGATTAGAGCAAGCTACATCCACGTTGAACTCTGGAAATAGAGTTCGCTGCACTATGATTAAAGAACACCAGATTTACAGTCTCAATTACAAGAGAAAGACACTCCAAGAAACCCTGATCGAATAACACTTTCTGAACCCGTAATCTGCCCTAGGACTCCTCTAACCTGGAAATCCTATACCAAGAACACAGCAGTTCTTTCCTTTGACTGATTAACCCCAAATCACTCAAGAACCCACAGATTACACAGAAGAATCAGACCCAAAGAACGAACCCTAGGTTTTACAAGAAAACGAAGACTGCTCTCACAAAATCGTTATTCGATCTACTGTTACCATATGAAACCCTAAACCTTTTATAGTGTTGACTTCAGGCAAGATCTCAGCCGTTGGCTCCCCTTCTGAATTTGCGGTCAGGATCACTCATGGGCTGTCCCAAAAACGACGCCGTTCCATTTAACATAATACGACGCCGTTTCAGCATTCACTTTACAACAGATATCTTCTCCCAAAATGGTGGCCTGACATACCATGCCTTACCCTTATGCAATTTTCTACTGCCATGGCCGAACTGATAACAAATTATTCAAAGTTTAACTGGGTGCTGAAAATGGAGATAGAGTTGAAGCTGTTGCAGTTTGCCACATGGATACTTCTCATTGGAGTCCTGATCATATATCATTTCGTTTGCTTGGGACTAAGCCAGGATTTGATTCCCACGTCTGTCATTTCTTCCCAACGGATAATCTAGTATTCGTTCAAAAATCCACCTTGTAAACTAGTAATGTCTTTGTAATTATAGTGATGTTTCAAGTCCTAAAGCTACTGTTCTTGTGTACTTGTTTTAATGGTAATTAATGTTATTACTGGATATGAATGTTATTCAATAAGTTCCATATACTGTCGACTGTTCTAAGTCCTGAAATAAAGTTCCGCAACCAATTCCCTTGAATTGTGGCCTCAAAGCAAGCCACAAACTCAGCTTCCATAGTCGTATAATTGTATCTTACAACTTTCACATCAATCCATTAGTAATATGGTTAATAGATCCCAGAGAATCTATATATGCTAAACTTAAAATCCGAAAAATGCAAAAGCAAGAAAGAACTCCAACGAAATGTTTTTGGCAAGAATCAATTGCCTGGAGATTTATTAAGCTTTCACCTAATAACCTTTGTGGAGACCCGTGCTTGGTTGGCAGTGCCAATCATGCGATGCTTGTGTATTAGGTAATTAATTAATTATTAATTACGTCATTAATTGGTTAACTTTTGATTATAATCTTTTCCTAGGTTCAAATAAAATTATCATAATTAACATGATCAGATAAGGCAAACGATGATTTTATAAAATGTGAAGAGAAATAGAATGTGTTTTTTATTACTTTTAAGAGTTAACGACTTTTTCCCACCCAAATAATGGCTTAATGACACTTTCCTATCCAGAGACTTTTAAAATACTACTTTATTATCTAAATTTATATTCTGACAGTAAACAAAAAATAAACTCGATTTAAGCTGTTTGGACTTTTAAAGAGGGGAAACCGATAAATCTTTTTGGTGGCGGAAGATTGGATTTTGGTGGCAGAAGATTGATCAGAATTTGACTTAAGAGTGGTGGTTGCGTGAACCATAATCGCTAGATTACCAGCAATTGACAAGGTTGATGGAAATATAGTTTGAGGGGTTTTTATGAATGATAATCAAGGAAGAGAATGGTGGTGGTGTGAGGTCGCAACGATATCGGAATCGAAAACAGAATATGAATTTAGGTAATAAAATGATATTCTAAAATTTTGTAGGTGAAAACGTGTCATTAAACCATTATTTGGGTGGAAAAAAGTTTGTTTACTCTTTTCTTAAACCATGGAAAGAGGAGGTTGGACTATATCAACTCAGATTCATATTCATATTTATTATTTGGTCATTAATTTATTATTATAATCTATTTTTAATACGATACGTTCTTGTAGAAAATGAGATGATAAACTTAATAAGTCAGTCGACTAAAAATAAAAATTGTTGAAAAAAATTGGAACACTCGAGAATGTGTTTGAAGAATAATGGATCCCACGATTCATATAATTTCTTTAGAAATTATCACAACTATTTAATTATAATTATAAAATTAGATTAATTTTATTAGAAGCCATTAGAAATGTCAAAACAAGATTAATTCAAGCCTAATTTAATATAAAAAATACTAATAGAAAACGCAGAAAAAAAACAGAGCAAAAGAGAGAGAAAATTCAGATCTGTATTATTGATGATGATTATTAATGATATATGCGTAAAGTGTTTTATATATACATGCACACCGCATGTATTTTGCATGTGCACTGTAACAGAAATAAAACTAACTCCCTGACACATCATCTACAATCAACGGTCAGATTTCATTACTTCCTAACATCCCTTCATCAACAAAACATCCACACTTCTTTACCTTACACTTCTTTACTTCTTCATTATGTTCGTTCATTACATTCTAACATCCCTTCTTCAACAAAACCTTCTCAACTGATTAACAAACACACGAACACACTTATTGCTCGCTGTTCACTGCACTTCACGAACACATGAAAAACACGCTGCTCGCTACAAACACACGAACACTTATTGCTCGCTGTTCGCTGTACTTCACAAACACACTAGTCGCTACACTTCACGAACACATGAAAACTCACTCCATTTCATGAACACACTAAAACTCGCTGCTCGCTACGAACACAACACACGAACACTTATTGCTTGCTGTTCGCTGCACTTCACGAACACACTGTTCACTGCACTTCACAAACTGCTCAAGATAATTGGATAATTCAATTAAGCATCAGACATAAAAGTCACTGAGCAATAAGTTCCATGCATAGCAAGAGGTGGTTTAACATTGAGCTTTTCACGAAGTAGTTCAAATCTGGAAGCTGATAGGGCTTTAGTAAATATATCAGCAATTTGATGTTCCATAGGAACAAACTGCACTTTGAGCTTGCTGGAGGTAACTTGCTCCCGGATATAATGAGCATCCAGCTCAATATGTTTTGTTCTACCGTGAAAGATAGGTTTTGAAGCCAACGATTCGGCACTTTGATTATCACACCAGATGATAGGAACCTCTGGTAGTGGCAGCCCAATTTCAGAAAATAGACTACAAAACCATGCTAACTCAGTGGAACCTTGAGCTAAGGCTCTATATTCTGCTTTAGTGGAGGATAACGCTACTACCTTTTGCTTCTTGGAATTCCATTGAATCAGATTAGATCTAAGATACACATAGCACCCACTGGTAGAACGTCTGTCTGAAGGATTGCAAGCCTAGTTAGCATCTGTATTACAGATTAGATTAAATCTAGGACCGTATAATACTCCATAGTTTAAGGTTCCTTTGATATACCAAAGAAGCCTTTTACAGGCTTGCCATTGCAACTGTGTTGGAGCCTTCAAAAACTGACTCAATTTGTTAACTGAGAAGGAGATATCAGGCCTGGACAACATGAGATACTGAAGTGCACCAACGGTACTCCGATACAGAGTTGGATTGTCAAATGGTTAACTGTCTTCAAGAGCTAATTTAGTGCCAACAGCCATGGGAGTAATGCAGGGATTACAATCCAGCATTTTGGTTTTAACCCGTAAGTCTTTCCTGTACTTTGCCTGGTTTATGTGCAGATGAGACTTATCTCTTGTAATTTCAAACCCGAGAAAGTAGTGTAGTGAACCTAGAGTTTTCAGAGCAAACTGAGTGTTAAGGTTAGCAACAATCTTATGAACCAGACTTGAATCATTGCCATTGAGGAGAATATCATCAACATAAACCAGAATATAGACTTGCACTTCTTGGTGTTGATAGATAAAGAGGCTAGGATCAGCTAAAGAATGTGAGAAACCCCATGATAGAAAGGCCTTCTTGAGCTTATTAAACTAGGCCCTTGGTGCCTGCTTGAGACCATAAAGTGCTTTGGTTAATTTGCAAACATGATGAGGATATTGTGGACTGACAAAACCTTCCGGTTGCACCATGTGAACTGTCTCAGTGAGCTCCCCATTCAAAAATACATTATTAATATCCACTTGTTGGATGTCCCACCCGTAGCTAACTGCAAGGCTCAAGATAACTCTAATTGTTGGAGATTTTACCATAGGACTAAAAGTCTCTAGATAATCAATCCCAGGAGTCTACTGAAATCCTTTCGCCACTAACCTTGCTTTAAGCCGTTGAATGGAACCATCAGGATTGGTTTTAACTTTGAACACCCACTTACAACCCACTGGATGCATATCAGAAGTAACGGGAACTAACTCCCAAGTGTGATTAGACTGCAGTGCATCAAATTCAACCTGCATGGCTGCCTTCTATGAAGGATGAGAGAGAGCCTCGGATACAATAACTGGTTCTGTAACATTAGCAATTGCTTCTGTAACATTACAAGATGAAGTGGACACAAGAGCAGTTTGGAGAGATTTTGTCTTGGATCTGGTTTGCATGGGATGAGTGTTTAAGGGCTTATCTTGTGCATGATGAGCTGTAGTAGCAGGTATAGGTAAGCTGACTTCCAGAGGAAAGGTATCATATGACTCATTAGAAGAAAGTGTTATAGGAGATAGAATAGAGTCTGAATGAAGAAAAGGATTTGTAGAGGAAGTACTAATTTGTTTGAAAGAAGTTAGAGTAGGAGACAGTTGTGACGATGACAAAAACAGGTTACTTGGAGATAAGCTTGGAGAGTTGGAATGAGCATGTGTAGTGGGACAAACATGAGAGTTTGCTAGAAATTCTGACTGATCACATGTAGTAGGACTAACATTACTAGACACATTGGTTAAAGGTACTAAAGTGGGAATAGACCAAGAAAAAGAGATAGGAACAACTGGCAAGGACTCAGATGGCAAAGATTCAGACGACGCGGTTGTAGATGTTGAAGCCTAGTTGGAGGAAGTATGAAATGGGAAGTCAGACTCATCAAAATGAACACTCTGACATGTATAAACTCGACCAGAAGGATCTAAACACAAATAACCTTTATGTTGAAGACTATACCCAACAAACGTACATTTAACAGTATGGAAATTAAACTTATAAGCACTATAGGGTCGAAGAAATGGATAGACTGCACAACGAAAAATCTTGAGAGCAGAATAGTTTGGAATACTATAAAAGAGTTTCCGGAAAGAACAGAGATTATCAAGGACAGGGGACGGAAGTCTATTTGTAAGATAAACTGAGGTTTGAAACGCAAACCACCAATACTTCAGTGGCATACCAGCTTGTGCAAGAAGAGTTAAACCTTGTTCCACAATCTGACAATGTTTCCTCTCTACTCTCCCATTTTATTGATGGGTAAAGGACAAGGATGCCTAAAGAGTATGCCATGATCCTTAACATGAGAGACCAAACTCCTATACTCCCCTTCCCAATCAGTTTGGACACATTTGACAGAGGCATTAAATTTTTTTTCTACTAGTTTATGGAACTGAGTAAAAATGGTGTAAGTGTCAGATTTGTTCTTTAGGGGAAAGATCCAAGTAAATCTAGTGTGGTCATCCAAAAATTGTATGTAGTATCTGAAGCCTTGTTAGTGTCATGAAAGTGACTCTATTTTGGTGATAAAAATACCCCATTTGTGATTAAATTGAAGTATATTGAGACAATTAAAGAATCTATGAATTTATTCATGAAAATCGTTTCCTAATATTTTTCTTATGAATTTAACATGTTTGGAATGATTTTGGAAAGTATATGAGTTGATATTAGGTTGTGGTTTATGGATTAAGGGTGATTTTGTCTCATTTATGCTGTTTAGGGGGTAAAATGTCATGTTTTAAAGGGCTGTTTTCTGGTCACTTTTCAATTGTGCAGGGACTAAACTGAAATTTTGCACATTGTTCTATAA